TAACCATTTCCTCTCTCATTGAGTCCAAAAGCCCCTTAAACATTCCAGCTGACTCTTTTGCAACTATTTTCTCTAAACAATCTTTGCACAAGGGTTTGGACCATGAAGCTGACATTTTTGCAAAGCAAGAGGCACACTTCTTCCCTTTTGGGCGAGAGCAACCAGCTTCAGCGAGGGGCTTATCCTCCGTGGCTTTGACCTGCGTCAAGAGTGACAAGAGTGATGCCATCAGCCAGTGCTCTGCCCGCATGCAAACCATGTTACACATAACACTATACAAGCCGGGCCCCCAATACAAGCCGGGTAAAGGAGAGAATCTTCAAAGAAAACTCGCCTACCTTAGCGCCCGTGCCATGCTCTCCCAGATCTGGAGTAGCAGCACCCTGTCCGGCATCTGTGGGCATCTTGCAGTTCACTGCCGACCACGCTATCGGCCCGCTCCTGACGTCCCCACCGGCCTTATGTGGTCTAGGTCGGTATGGATGGTGTACAGCTGAAGTAGTCGTGGCCGAGCGGCGTTTACTGTGACCATGTGGGAACCGAGCCTCCTCTCTTATGCGTCTCCAGCGCGAGGCAGCCTCTGAAACCCGGAAGTGTCGCACCGGAAGCGCGTCATCGCTCTGACCACGCGGCGCGTATCCCAGGCGGCGACGGCGCCCTACAGTGACGTCACCCGCCAGATTCCCAGCCAGGACGTAGCCCATGCTGTCCTGCTCACACCACAGACACCAGCAAGGGGCGAAGAGACACCGCAGCCCGCCGCGCGGGGCCCACACCTCCACGCTGCCGCAGACTGACCCTGCTCTCCCTACCATCAGGCAAGAGCCCCCTACTGCCGAGGTAGCCGGGACCCCTGGACTCCTCCAGCCTCCCTGTACCTCTCCTATGCTGCCCCTGTTGTTGCCAGACCAATGTCCGCAACCGGGGCTCAGCATTCCTAGGCATCACACCTTGCCACTGCTGTACACCGGGGGGGCCACCATCTGGCGCCTACTCACGTGCAGGAGGATGGTTGCCTTCCCTGAGTGATGGAAGGGAACCTTGGCCAAGAATCGGATGGGGGTCCGATAGGGAAGCCCTGTATGCGCTGCAGCAGGTAATCCTGGAGTAGGTCCCAACGCATAGCAGGGTAGGCTCAGCCCTAAGGCAAACAAACATGAGCCCTGAAAACAACAAACATTACGATGTCCCTGTGTAGCCGGCGGAAACACAAAAAAACTGACTTGGAATGGAAGGAGGAGTCTATTTAATGTGGTTGATGTGTTTCCTGTTGCAGGCAGGCGGAGCCTATATCTCGATGGCTGTCCTGGAAGATGACTGGGGAAAAATGGCCTGGCCAGGAAGGGTGTCTAAACACCTGGTCTTGAAGTAGTTGAGGTAAAAAACACCCAGACCTTAATACTACTTTAAGGTAGTGATAACTTTGAAGTTAACACTTGTAAGAGAAAGCCCATGCACTGGTTAGAATTGACTTTATCCATTAGATCTTTCCCTGCAGTAACTTACTTTGACAACCCAACCTTTTAGAGTTGCTACACTAACCGGCGTTCATGAGTAGGAGGAACCTTACATTTTGCAAAATACACTTAAACCATCATTATAATTCCATACCCCCTGCTTTGTCATCTACCTTTCGATATAAATATTATATTGTTTAATTCCATATGTTGACCTCGAAACCAGGTGTCCTTAAACATTTTAAACAAAAGGCCAATTTTCTGTTCTTCAGACTTTGGGGGGAGGGTTGGGCAGACTATGGCCAGTGGCCCTTGGGAGGAACAATGCCCCGTTGCTGGTGTCAGTGGAAAGAACAGTGTCCCATCACTGATGTCAGCGTAATGGATAGTGCTACATCATTGGTATAAGTAAAATGATTAGTGCCCAATTGTTGGTGTCAGTGGGGTAAATTGTGCCCCATAAATTGTGTGAGTGGTAGGAATAGTACCCCATTATTGGTGTAATTGGAAGGAATAGTGCCTCATTGTTACTGTGGGGTGGCAGGAAAAGTGCCCAATTGTTATCAGTGGAGGAATAATGCCCTATCACTATTAGTATAGGAATAGTGCCCCATAGGTGGTGCCAGTGGAAAGAATAGTGCCCCCTCAATGATGCCAGTAAAAAGAATTGTGCCCCACCGTTGGTGTCAGAGAGGAATTGTGCCCCATCGTTTGGGTCAAAGAGAGGGGAATAGTCTGCCTGGTTAAGGACAAATGAAGGCCCGTATTTATCCCAGTTTGGGACCACTACTCTAAACTATAGATATCTATGGAAAAAGTTTATTAACAAAACGTGACCGTGTGATATTTATCCAAGTCATATAATTATTATGTTGGCCATTTTTTTTTCAATTATAGATACTATTGTTTAAAATAATTTTTCTCTGGCAAACAAATATTTGGCACACAAAAAAAAAAATTGGCTTGGTTGCAGTCAACTGGATTTTTCTTAATGACTGATCACTTCTTACTAAAATAAAACAATTGTTTACCAATTTAATGCAGCTGATTTCTGAAAAGATTACATTTGTTTTTGTAAAAAAACATTTTACACAAAACATAAGATACAACTCAGGTTATGAGTTACTGTTAATGAAAGACATGATTCTTTCATTAAACCAATCGTTGTATCGAACAATTGCATCAATATCTGTATAGCCAGCATTACGCTAGTTTCTAAAAACAATTAACATTCTATCAATCCCACTTTCTGAAAGTAATGCATGCATCTAGAATGTGGGGCTCTTGCACCCATACAATGCAAATACTCACTAATATACACTGCAAAGAGAGTCATTTAAAAAACGAAATAAATAAAACAAATACTCAATAGCAGAAAAATGCATAAACCCCACTAAATAAAAACCATATAAATCCTTACACAGTACATATATAGATACAAACACATCTGATTCCAATGATATATTTGAACGCACAGTTGATTCCAATGACATATTTTGTACATTTATGTTAGTATTTAAAAGGCTTTACTTATTTCAAGTTTATCTGTTATTTATTTTATGATAACCACTGCTTAGGATTATGGCATTGTTCATTATTGCAAAAACAAAATATAACAATTACAGCCTCAAAACTACCTGTGTTGAAGGTGCAGAAGATACAGGAAGAGGGTTAGAGATCATTGGACCAAATATATCCAAGTCATCGTTTAATGTGCTTGTGGTAGAAGTGCTTCCATTTGCAACTGGAACTTCAGCAGGAGTGTCTGGATATGAAAACACAAAAGTATGAAGCATTTGTTAATTTTTTCAAGACGGAGGACACAGACAATGAAATCTATAATTGACACCGAAAAATCTAGGAGAAAAAAAAAGGGATTTTAAAACTTTACTCAGGTAATATTCACAATTAATCAAGTGAACTGCAGCCACACCCCCCCCCCCCAAACAAAAAAAAAAAAAAAGAAGTGCACAGTTTAGCTTGAAATCAACAATATCTATAAATACTAGGTCATCTAAAATCCAAAAGATAAAAAAAAAATTATCGCTGCCTCCCTCAACACCAACAATTAGCACTCCATACTCACTGTCATAACCTGCCCACGACCCTTCGGCCTGTCCTTGATTTTGCCTATTATGCTTTTTTGTTTAAGTAACTGCCATCCCTGCTGTCCATCTACCTATCCTTCTGCTCAATTTTGTACTGTAGGCACCTGCAAACTTACCAGTGAGTTTCCTGATCAAACCTTCCACCGACAAAATCTCAGCAGCATGCAGAGAGCACAGTGTACACTATACTATTCACAGGTCATCTCCATTGGCAGAAATTTGTAATATGCCCTTTGCTCTCTGCCTGCTGGAAGGATCTTTCAGGCTGCAGATTTGCAGGTACATTATACGCTGTCATATTGATAAAATCATGTGTATTGGACATAAAAGGTGTGTGGATGATTATCTGTTTACAGCTAAAGCTGCTGGTGGGACTTGCAGTACCCATTTTAGTGACAGAACATTTGTTATATGTCCTACTTTGAACTTTGAAGCATATAAGTACCCAAGGAGCAATAAGCCGTTTACCATTTACATTGCTGCTGGGACTTATAGCCATTGTTTATGACCAGGCATTTTACATAATCAGCACTGAAAACTAACCTAAGCAGCCGAATCAAAGGCCATAATATGTGGATAAATGAACTGCAAGCAATATTTGCTTTTTATCCATTTATAGACCTGGCCACTTTCTGCTCTTTCAGGGATAATTTCGAACATTTGCTTGATGCCATGTCAAGCATTAAAGGATCCTTAACTGAAAGAATCAGGAGTTATGGCTTGCCAATTACTAATATGGTCTTGATAAAATAAGGTAGACAGTGACACTGAAATTATTAGCCAGAACGTACATGCACATTTCAAAATATTTCAGTGTTGATAATTATGATGAATTAACATGGTTCTGTTGATGCTCATGTACGCTTGCATTTTCACTGTTCAGTGAGTAAGAACACTTCAGCAAGTTAGTGGTAATGCTTAAAACGTAACAGTAAAATCTATCTTGAGGGTGAAGTGTGTACTGAATGTTTGTTGTAAAAGGAAAAATTACAGAGTATATTTTGCCAAGAAAGTTTATTTTTAATATCCATCACGTAACAGCCCATACTTAAATTTTTCAGCAGGATTTTACAAATCCCATCTAAACCAACCAATCCCTCCCCAGCGAAATGTATCACTGATTTTCCTTACACACAATATAATACATAGTCTGGAGCCACACATGGTAAAATGTCAAAAACCAAGATTCAGGACTCCTGTGCTGCTATACAGCGCTACTAACCACTGCATGCGCAAGCAGAATCCTGCAGTAAATGTAAACAGCCGGTACTGGCTGTTCCATACAAATGTCCCGGCGGCTCTACAGCCACCATGATCGCTTGTATGGTAACAAACAGCGTGCGGGCCCTTCTCTGCTGGTTGTCCCAGGCTCCACTGTCTCCTCTGCAGGCCCAGCACAGCGGCTGCGGAAACTGTAAATGGAAGAGAGATCAGCATTCCCCCACTGCTGATCTCTGCTTCATCAGCTTATTGGGGGGGGGAGGGGCTCTAGGTGACATTTGGGGTCTTAGGGACCTGTCATTGTATATTTGCTATGACATAGTGGACTTGTTAGCCCCCTATGCGATAGCAATAAAATTGTAAAAAAAAAAAAAAAAAAAAAATTAAAAAAAAAAAAAAAAAGTTAAGAAAATATTAAAAAGGTACATATAAAAGGAAAAGAACCCCCAAAAATGTCCCCCATGTGCACGCACATATAAACGTAAATACGCTTGCGCCTACGTGTGAAAACAACGGTTATGTGACACGTTCCATATCACTGCAAAGTCAGAGTGCGAGCAATAATTCTAGGGCCATTAATCACTGTTAACACTAAACTGATGAGCGTTAAAAGCTTTTAAAAGCGTCACCTATGGCCAATTTTAGGTATCTTATCTTTTTTGCGATTTTGCGGGCGTGCCCAATTTTAAACCTTAACATTTTTGGTATCTATTTACATGACGTGACCCCGTCTTTTATGTTCTACCATAAATTTGGATAAGAATAAATGTTTTATAACATTGGGAAAACATTTTTTTTATACATTTTCGGTACTTTTTTCCATTATATAGTAAAAAATTAAAACGCCAGTGATGATTAAATACCACCAAAACAAAGCTCTATCTGTCCCTAAAAAAATGGTATAAAACTTATTTCAGTACAGTTTTGCATGAGGGAATACATGTCAAAGAACATCATCGCTGAATACGGAAAAATGGCCTGGACAAGAAGGGGGTTTATCACCCTGGTCTTCAAGTGGTTAAAATGCATTCAAGTACCCTATTGACAAAATGTATCTTATTTGCGTATCACTCGACTGTAGATCCTCAAATCATCTCTGAATTCATGCTGACACTGTGCTTCCTTCCTTCTGGAGGGTGGCTACTTTTGTTCCCCATGGTCCCTGTGTGTGTTGTAAAGTAGACACCGCTCAATCCACTATGATCTCAAATTTAGTCTACTATTTTTAATTGAGTTTGTAATCCATCATGTCAGTGAGCTTGGACTGGTGGCTACTTTACAACACACACAGGGACCATGGGGAACAAAAAGTAGCCACCCTCCAGAAGGCAGGACAGTGTCAGCACCAATTCAGAGATGATTTGATGGTCTACAGCCGAGTGATTCACACATAAGATACATTTATGTTAATAGTTCAGGTACTCAAATGCATTTTTAAGATTTAACTTTTGAGTTTAGGGTCACTTTAAAGAATAACATGAACATATTGGGTTCTAGCAGATGCATTTGACATTTTTATTTGATAATTATATTATGTAAGCTCCACAAAATTAATAGTGCTCTTTACTGCATTACATTTATGAAAAAAAAGCTTGGCGTCTGTCACCTTTATTGTTGATGTTCTAGTTTTGAACCCATCATGTTTTTCTGCTAGTTACAATGCACTAGCTCACTTCATAAATTAATGCACAGAGGGAAAAGCAAATGAAATAAGCAGAGCAGATATATTCAGCAAACAAAAGATATTGCTATAGCAATGGGAGGAACTAAAGCTTTGTGGCTCTTACCTTCAGAGGACTCATTTTGTTTTAGCAAATGAAACCGTAAAACTCATTTCTGTGACTACAATGAAAACCCTACAGAGATATCAATGAAGTATGCTAGTCAGATTTTGCCCCCTTGATTTAATAATTTTCAATTCATTTTCAGCAGTTTACAAGCAAGCTGCAGTTACATTTTTACATATAAATCAAAAACAAATCAGAGCAGGGAATGAAACTACAAACTGCTGGAAGTATTTTTTTTTATAATCAAGCTGAATGGACATTTGATTCCTATAAATTGTTAACCCATTTGTGCAAAATGCCCCACAAAATCATCAAAGCAGATGCTTGACAGAATAGAAAAAATGCTCTGAATTTCTCTTTAGGAATTTACCAATGTTAAAAAAAAGGATTGGAGCTATATGCCATGTCATCACACCTATCACTGCAGTTTAGAACGAATGCAATAAAATCGCAGAATTAACTAGTTGTTTTTTCTCCCAGAGTATGGTAATAGTAAGCTTAAAGTACACAAACAATTTTCAATCATGCATCAAACGTTACTGAGGTCTAAAAGCAGACTGCTGCAATTAAATTACATGTATTCACATGTATGGTGATCACAACACCACAACGGTGTACAGTTAATTGCAGGCAACTGCATTTCTCTTCAACTGTCTATTGGTCAGTATAAAAGTCTTTGGGTGTGATTAAGTGCAGCCACTTTCAAAGGAAAGGGGGCCATGAGCCTGAAAAGTACCCAAATAGCTAAGACCTTAGGCTGCTGTGTGGATCGGGGCTACAGGCTATAAGCAGTTAAAGGTAACTCACAATTGCAATAGAACAAGTGGGCAAGATACGTAAGACCTCCTGATTTGCATACTTGCTCAATGTTAGTGACTCAAAGTACTGAAACTACCAGATAAGCAAGACAGGGAAAGCAACTAGCATCTGGAGAGTTCAGTATGGCAGCTGGAGTATGTCATTTAGAATAGGTTTTTCATTAAAGAACTCCAGGATTTGTAAAAAGTAACCCTTGCAGTGGGGCTATCCCCAATACTAACTGCTCGTTTTCTCTAAGGGCGAAAATAAAGAGTACTTACCCGATCCTTAGTCCTGCGGCAGTGAACCCTCACCTCTCTCCTCCTCTGCGGTAGGTCCATTGGTGTCTTCACATCTAATAGATCTGTATTAGACACGATGATTTAGGAGTCCTTAGAATGTTGGAGGCCAGAGGCTATGAGGCTGCAGGGATTGGTCTAGCAGCCAGGCAGGACTGAGGATCTGGTTAGTATTTCTTTATTTTTGCTCCCTAGACAAAATGAGCACCTAACCCTTGCAGTGTGGTGGTAGCCCCATTGCAAGGATGCATACACAAAAATCCAGGATTTGTTCAAAGCTAAACGCAAGGTAAAAGTTATATAAACAACTGAAACACTGTTTACTGACAGTTTTACAGAGAAAAGGATTTATAATGGTGTTTAATCAGTTCTTTGATACACAAATCTCAGACAGCAGAGCCATATCCTGCATTCCCTAACACCTCTCTGCAGGTTACACTGAGGCTAGGTTCACACATTACAGCGCAGCAATCGTGTACGATTCCGTGCGGATTTCTGCGCGGTCAGGAGTCGCCAATGTGTGAACCGTTCGCGCTGTGCGTGCCATTATTT